ATCAGTAGATGAATGGATAAAGAAGATGTGGTACATATACACAATGGAATATTATTCAGCCATAAGAAGAAAACAAATCCTACCATTTGCAACAACATGGATGGAGCTAGAGGGTATTATGCTCAGTGAAATAAGCCAAGCGGAGAAAGACAAATACCAAATGATTTCACTCATCTGTGGAGTATAAGAACAAAGGAAAAACTGAAGGAACAAAACAGTAGCAGAATCACAGAACCCAAGAATGGACTAACAGATACCAAAGGGAAAGAGACTGGGGAGAATGGGAGGGTAGGGAGGGATCAGGGCGGGGAAGAAGAAAGGGGGTATTATGATTGGCATGTATAAGGGGGGTGGGGGAAAGGGGAAGGCTGTGCAACACAGAGAAGACAAGTAGTGATTCTACAACATTTTGCTATGCTGATGGACAGTGACTGTAATGGGGTGTGTGGGGGGGACTTGGGGTAGGGGAGAGCCTAGTAAACATAATGTTCTTCATGTAATTGTAGATTAATGATAACAAAAAAAGGGGGAATTACTCCCTGATAGGCTAAAATTAACTGCAAATCAACGATTAATGCAAGCTTTACACATCCTTAATTTTGATCTTTTAAAGGGTGTCATATGATCTGCTATGGAAGTACATTTTTCTGATATTTCTTTCTCTTAAAAAAAAAAAGCAGTTCCTGTGTGGTGATCTCCAATAGGTTCTTCACAATGGCATAAAGGTCATATCAAAGTGTGGGCAAAGGGTTTGTTTGTGTTATACAGAGGATCAAAGCCTAATTTGGCTACCCAGAAAACGAATTAAGCTATGATATGAAGAAGAACTTCCAACATCAACATCCTCTGGAAGAGTCACTCCAGAAGATCAGCATCAAAAAACTTCAACAAAGATCCTGGCGCTGTTGCAGTTGTAGCTGCATTCAGCCCGCCAGTTCCTGGATTTGCCATTGGAATGAAGAAGGAGATATCTAAGCTGGCCTGTGCATACAGTTTAACAACAAATTTGACTGGATCTATATTGTTGGAACTCAACCAAGAATTAGGAGAAGTGCAAGTTGCAGGGCTCCAAAATCGTGCGACTATAGACTATCTACTGTTAAAAGAACATATGGGATGTGAACAGTTCCCAGGAAAGTGTTGTTTTAATTTCTCTGATTTTTCTCAAACTATTCAAATTCAGTTAGACAATATCCATCATAGTATTGTTAAGTTTTCACAAATGCCTAGGGTACCTAACTGGTTTTCTTGGTTTCACTGGATATGGCTGGTAATTGTAGGTCTGCTTTTGTTATGTAGCTGTGTTCCTATTCTGTTAATGTGTGTACAGAATTTAATTAGTAGTTTGTTAAAACCTATACATGCTTATGTTACTCTACAAGAAGTTATGTCAAAGAAATAATCAATCTTCCCATGTTTTCTTCCGTCTGCTACTTCTTCAGCTTTTCTTCTTCCTTCCTAAATACAGCCCTTTAGTAGAATTTGTGCCTCATATTTAAAATTACCGAATATCATAATTCTTCCAAGTGGTAAAGATACCTCAAGACAAATGCTGGGCATAGAAGCCACAGGGCATAAATCTGCAAAGAAGTAAAAAGCTAACCTTTTCAAAGAATATTGCTTCTCTCTCACTTACCAACTTTACATTTCCCTGTATAGCCCGGAAGACAGCTGGTTAGCCAGAGGTGGGTAAGATTCCTCAAGGGAGGAACAACTTAAGACAGGCACAGTCGCAGGGGGGCCATCAGGTGAGAAATTGGGGATCAACAGAGGTGAGGCTTAGAACCTCACCCCCCCCTGTTTTGAGAGAAATCTTCTGCATCCGTGGATGTTTTATTGCCCTTGTCTAGCTTGGATTAACACTTAGTCTACAGGCACACACCTGATCATCTACATTTGCTCTCTTACAACACTAAACTATGTTTTCTACCTTTATCTTGCATCTACCTACCACTTCAGCATTTTATTTAAAAAAATAATAATAATAATAATAATAATAAGGGAGAAATGTGGGATTCACAGATAAATCAAGTATAAAAATCAAACGAATATTCATATTTAACCTGATTGTTTATAGTTCATAATGCGTGATCAAAACCAAAAGTTTCTGTGATATGACTGCCCTTGCACTTTTCACCACGTAAGAACTTATTCACTGTGTAAGAACTTGTTCGTTATGCTTCAGAAGATTGGAGACTGCTGAGAATTAGGCTTGGGGTTGATTAATGATTGTGCATTGAGTCCCCTATACAGAATTTTATTGTTGTTAACAACCACTTGATCAATAAATATGAGAGATGCCCTCTCAAAAAAAAAAGAGCCCTAGTAATTATTAGATAGTTTCTTTGAAATTCAACAAACATTTATGTGCTTAGTGTCTGCCAGAGTACCTTTATATAAATACCTAACACACAGAAGGCAATAAATCAATGAATGACCTTAAAGGCTGTCATTTATCTATACTAGGACTTAGTTTCCTCATCTGCAAAGTTAGGAGAGCTAGATATGATATTCTCTAAAGCAGCACTGTTCAACAGAACATTCTGCAATGATAGAAATGTTTCATGTATATATACATGACTACTGAGCCCTTGAAATGTGGCTAATGCAACTAAGGAATTTTTAAATTCAATTTTAATTTAAACAGCCACATGAAGCTAGCTACTACCATATTGCACAGCATAGCTCTCAGGTATAATCCTGTGTGAAAAATGCATTTTATAATGCATTCCAGTAATCACACACATGTGAGAATGTATACATGTACATAAAACAAAAGTACAAAATATTTCCCTTAATATGTATAAAGCCCTAATATTTTCTTTCTTATTCAAATGAATTTCATCTAAAAAAAATGCTGACCCAACCCAGTCATAGTTCGTAACACTGAAGCTTATAATGTTCCTTTCAGCTCTAAAATATTATGCTAAGTACTAGTGATTGTCCTAAAAGAATGCATTCAGTATTTATTTTGTAATCTTAATCACAAATCACTAATTAATTTGAAGGTGCCTCAGGTTATATAAGGTTCTACTTTCAAAGCCCTGTAATAATTCCTTCATCTCCTGTTAAATTCATTTTTTTTAAATGATGGCAAGAATTTCATGCCTTTAGTAAGCAGAAAACAAAGGTAACATGTTCCTTGTTTTTCACACTTCAGAAGTGGTAACCAAAGGAAACGGTAGAATATAGAAGAGATAGTGGAGAAACGAAGTTTTGGGGATAGTGCTCATGAAAAGAGAGAAGGCTTACATTTCATTGCCATCACATCTGAAACTTCTGACTGCTTCCCCCTCATTCCTCCAGCCTGACAAAGTCCTACAAATATTATAGTAACTTCATCTAGATCATTAGAGGATGAGGAAAACAAGAATGGTTCCCAAGAGATCATGTGTTACAAACTTTCAACTATAAAGCGCTTTAAAAACTTTAAAACTATTTGGATTTGGTTTTCTAGCCTCATTGACCACTTACTATCTTGAACTCCTCACTAATCTAAACAACATGCAGTTCTACAAAGGGCCCATGTCTTCTCTTACCTGTGGGTGTTTGCACATGCCATTTCCTCTTTAGCTTGTTTTTCCTAGCTTTTAAGGTCTTGGCTTAGACAACAGTTACTTGAGGCAATTTTCACCCCCTTCAAGATTAGACCTAGTACTTTGTACCTTTACCATTATTGTACTACTGTATTAAAATTGCCTGTTTCCTTTGCCTATTTCCCCTACTAGATTTTAACTCTCTAAGAACAAGGCCTATATTTTGTCCTGTTCACTACTGTAAAGATATTCAGTAATTACTGAATGAACCAACAGATATAATTCCTCCAGCATTCCACATGCTTAGTGCCATTCCCTATTCTCCCCGCTTAGAATGTTCTCCCCTGTTCTATCACCAACATGAGATGCTTTCTATAATCTGGTCCTTAATTATCACTAATTCCCCTATAAGACTGCAGCCCTTACTGTTCATACTACTCATCTGATATTTAATCTACTACAGTTTTTTAGTTATTCTTGTAATGCACAGATCCAATCTCCTTAACTAAGTTGACCAATCTTAAAGGCATTACTGTTTATTTCTCTTGGTACCCCATTTTATAGCACAGTGCTATTTATATAGCAGACATTAAACATTTATTTACAAAGAATCAAAATTTAAGAGGTGGTTTCTCAAAGCTGACAGTACTTTAGTGATAGAGATGAATAAGTGGTGGCAGTTAAAGCTTTTTGCAAACATACAGAAAATAAAAAGATACACCAAAGTACAGCAATTGCAAATAATAATAAATGCTGTTCTAGAGTGAGAGGTAATAACGGATGCAAATATTAAGAGGCACTTAACAAAAGCTACATTCATTAGTTAAAAACAGCCTTATGAATTTCAAAGTGACCTCTCTATACATTAGAACACTATTTTCAGATCAAAGGACAATCGTGTTTACATATGAATTTCGGGCAGTCCGTTTTGTCGAGAAAGATAATTATGGTTTTGGCCTATCAAGGAGCCCTGTCTGTCAGCAAGGGAGTTAACTGGTGCCAATTCAATTTGCCGCTAGTTTATAGGCAGCTTGCTGTCATCTTTACAGTGCCCTCCAAACGGCTACTTCTGTCTGAGAAAATCGGAACCATGCACAAATTGGTCCCAAATTCCCTTACTAACTTTGGAAAGGGGCCCAGTTTTCCTTACATTTAGAAACAGAAGCAGTCTGGGAACAGTGCGATTCTCTTAAACTCGGAGAAAAAACTGTAAATCCTGTGAGAGACAGAGGCGCTCCAGGTGCCCTCTGCCGTAACCTTCCGTCCTGTTCCCATTTGCTGTACTCCGAAGGTTTTCGTCACCTCTTCCCAAATGACTGGCTCTAATTTCCTTCACTTACTGCTGCTGCGAGTTATCCTTGACAACCTTTCTTGATGTCCTGTGACCAGAGGACACGAGGGCAACATTTTCCCGATAGGTCCCCTTGTCCTTCACCCTATTTTTCCCTGTGTATGGCATCTCACCTGGGAGATTCGAGCGGTTCCGGAGGCGCCGAGCAAACGTGACCTCCACTGCGGACCTGGGCCGCGGACAGAGACTAGAGGCCGTATCAGAAGCGCGGCGTGCTGCCGCTTTTCGAAAGCAGCCGCCGCGGCTGCCCAGCGCCAGGAACGTATCGCGAGCCGCGCCATCTTGAACAAGGCAAGAGGAACCGAGAGCAGAGGATTGTGGGACGCTGGCGGACGGAACTCGGCTCCCTCGGTCCCCTCTTCTCTCCCCCTGGCATTACCAGGGCCCCAGACCGGAAACGGCTTCCCTCGCAAGGTTCAGGGGCTTTAGCGCAACCGCTCTCTTTTAGAGCCCGTGTTTTTCTCTCGCAACAGGAAGTATCTGAGTAACACTGTCGTTCTCTCTTTTCAGGTAAACAACGAATCGTTTTTTTAGTGTGTGTCCCAAACACTGCTGTTGCTAAATCTGACATCCTCTTGTCCGCAATTCCACTCTTCTCTTTACGCCTCCAACTCAGTGCCACGCTTCACTCTGTCCATTTTCCCTCTGCATATTCTTACCTTCACAACTGTGCACTAATGCGTAGGGTAGATTAAACTATAGATAGTAATGTCTCTGAGGAGGAGGAGGCAACATTCGTGAGATTTCACTGCCTCGGTGTTTTGTAAGCATGTTTACTTGACTGATCTCTTTCACGGACTTTGGGGCAGTTTTCCTTTGGTCTGTTGCTCTCGGGATAGTTTTACATACACACACACACTGCTTTACTATGGTAACTTACCTCTTTCTAGCTCTTCCCTCTGGTTTCTGCAGCGTCCCTAATTATTGAAAAACATCTAGACTGACCGAAGGATGGTAAAGTGAAAAATATACGTACGGAAGCCCATGTTTAAGGAAAGGTTTAATATTCTTTTGTCGCTACTATCAACAAACAAAATGATGTTGAAATATGTTTACAGTTATCTGGGAAACCGTATTTCCAAGTGTAAATGTTACCTGAAACCCTGGAGACCGTGATGCAGTTGTAATTTTATGTTCATTGCTATGTCCTCAAACCTTTCACACAAGACAGGCAAGTTATTTCGAATTCTTTAATGTACAGGCACAGTGGATTAATAGTATGAAAACAAAGGATATGCATGGCCCATGCTCTTAGCTTTGTTTCAATATTCATATTATGCCCTGGGTTTCCAGATAAGAGGATGCTTATGCAGAATTATTTAAAGAAGAATAAAGTGTCCAGTTAAAGAGGTTGAAGGGAATTCCATGTAAAGGAAATGGCATGTGTAAAAGCATGAAAGGATAAGAAAGCATTTTCAGGTTCAGGAGTCTAGGGAGTACATGGCAGAACAGTAGATGAGCCTGTGTGAACATATGAGGCCTGATGGAGAAGGGCTTTGTATTTCATTCTAAGAAGTTAATGCCTGATTCTATAGCCAGTAAAGGGTTTTAATTAAGAGAGTAAAATGATCAGATTTGTATGTACATTAAACCACTCTGGCTTATGTGGAAAGGTTGGACTGGAGGGAGTTCAGATTGGAATCAGTCATGAAAAAGTACAGTAGTTCACCCCATCATAAAATAATGGCCTGAACATGGCAGCAGCTGTGGCAGATCAATTCCAGATATACTATAGAGAGAGAACTGACAGGAGTTAGTGACTAAGTGGATGTTTCTGGCTTATTACTGTCTTGTTGACAGATTAGAAATGGCCTCTTTTATTAATGCCCATATCATCATCAATATAAATACTTATTCAGCATCTATGCTGTGTTACAGAGCAACACTCTGCACTAGAGAAACCCTAGACTATACTAATGATTTCTATTAGGACTCAATATTGCCACCAAATCTTTCTACCCAGACAAGCCATTGTCCAGTAATGCTGTAATTTTTTCAGAATGTAGGAATGTATGCAATATATATTTTGTGAGATGTTTTCAGATATAATATCTTAAATTTTTTTATTTTCAGAAACACACATTATCTTTCTGGATCTTAATGACAGCTTTTTGGGGGTATTCTCCATTCCTAGTAGATAAAGAAGACTATGGCCACATGGCGATAGATTCAGAAGTAGAACCATGATATTCTGACTGTAGTTCCACTGTTCTTTGCACTAGAGATGTTGCCTATACTCAATCATAAGATTTAATTGAAAGGCCTCTAAAGAGAGGCCATATAGAATCATAAGATTTTAAATCAGGCAAGAGCTTAGAATTCTGAAACACATGACCCTACACATGATTTTTCAGGATTCCTGAGAAGTTTCACTAGAATTACCTACAGGCATTACAATCTTGGAACAACAGTTGTGAGGTCTTAGAATGGAGCCAACATATTTTTACTGAAGTAGGGCTTATTGTAGGTGAACTCCTCTGGTTAAGAAATATTAATAACATTGGCATACCCAGGTAGTTACTCTGTGATGAGCTACAGTGGGTCACAGTCACACATGAGCCAAATAGGCCAAAGAAGATTTCCAGTGCACCCAGAAATAGAACATGAAGCATAGTGAGAGTTTTACACTGCTGAAGAACTGCAATAGTAAGCCAACTTAGCCTGCAGTAATTTGACATGTTAAGTGTCCAAAATGAGAGACAAAGGAGCACACAATAAAAGCCACTATAAGTAACTGTTATAGACCAGATCACATGATAATACTTAATCAATAATTATATGTGTGTAGTATTTTGCAGTTTACAAAGTGTTTTTTCATACCTTATTTATTCCTCACATCAACCCTGGAGAATAAGTATTATTTATTAGTATTCCCATGTTTATGGGGAAACCAGCTGAGGCAGTATTGGGTAAATTGAAGTTTTTAACCAGACTTTCTGCCTGGCCCTGATAGTGATGTGCATGTAAGTGCCTGTTTGTACATCAGTGTGATGTTTACTGTGGCAGAGCTGCCAATCTGTCACAGGACTGCCGGTCCAGGGCAAGGGATGGAGAGAAAACAGCCATTCTCTCCTCCCATCCATTCCTGATACGTAATTGATCAGGTGCCCGCCAGTCACCAGGGTTCAGCCCTCAGAGTTCCTCCAAGAGGAAGGGGCTTTGGGCTGGGGGTGAAGCAGAGTGGGCCACTGGCTGGAGAAAGACAGACAGAGCTGGGGAGCGTGTCCTAGCGAGAGTCCGTAGAGAGCGCTGGGAGAGAGAGTAGCGGGACAGGAGAGAGACAGAGCCATGAGAAATAAAAAACTATTAACCAACCTCTCACGCTTGATTTCCTTTGGTCTTACTGGATTTATAGTGAACTTGCCCCAGGCAGGGAACCGCCTTCCTCTCTGACCCACAGACAGGTTGTGACTTGAAAGAAGTCACAGAGCTAATGAAATGAAACCAAACCTAGGTTTTATGACTCCATATACAGCATTCTTTTCACTTAATTACATATGAAATGTGGAAGAAACACTATTTCATGAATGACACAGTGTTTTTTTCTGTTTCTAGAAAATTCCAGAACTTATTTCCACTTTAGTGCCTTTGCACTTGCTTTCCTCTCTATCTGGAACATCCTTCCTTCCTGGAGACTTTTTAATGACTCCAATATCACTAGTTTAGAGAAGCTTTTCAAGAGCCCCTTATCTACATAAGCCACCCCTGTTCCTGCCACACTCCTTCACACTGTCTTGCTTTATTTCCCTTAAAATCCTGCTTGGCATCACCTGGAAGCTTATAAGAAATGCAGAATCTGAGGCCCCATTCCAGGCCTTAGTGATTCAGAATTTGCATTTTAGTGATTCTGCAGGTTATTCATATACACATTAAAATTTGAGAAGCAATTTTAAAATACATATCACTTTCTGAACCTATTTTTATATGCATTTTTAACATTAAGAAATATTTCATCATAACTGAAAATAATGAAGGAAAAGGTAATGGACACCCATGTACCCGCAACCAGCTTAGTCATATCTTAATATTTCACTGTCTTTGCTGTGGATCTTAAAAATAATAATTTAGTGAAGACCCCTGTGTTTAATCTCTTTAATCCAATCTCTTTGTCCTCTTAGGTTTATTCCTGTTTTACTCCTTTATGTTACTTTGGTGGACCTTGGAAGGAAGAGGAGACAAATAGAGTTTATTAATCTGTCATGATTATCTGGATGTCCTACACATTTTATTATGCTATTATAAACTTAATAACAAACACGGACAAGGACTATACAAGAAAATTATATGTCAATATTACTTATGAACATAAATGAAAAAGAAGAAAAATTAAATAGTGAACTCAATCCAGCACTGTAGAAAACACATCAAGACCAAGCAGGCTTTATTCCAGAAATTCAAAGATGGCTGAATGTATATATACGTATTCAGCATAGATGCTGAATAAGTATTTATATTGATGATGATATGGGCATTAATAAAAGAGGCCATTTCTGATCTGTCAACAAGACAGTAATAAGCCAGAAACATCCACTTAGTCCCCAGCGCTCTCTACGGACTCTCGCTAGGACACGCTCCCCAGCTCTGTCTGTCTTTCTCCAGCCAGTGGCCCACTCTGCTTCACCCCCAGCCCAAAGCCCCTTCCTCTTGGAGGAACTCTGAGGGCTGAACCCTGGTGACTGGCGGGCACCTGACCAATTACGTATCAGGAGTAGTTTACTTATATGTCCCTCACATCAAGTTTGTTAATTGTCCATGTGACAGACAAATTTTACATACCAAAATAAGTCAGAAACGATGTTCAATAAAATTCACTCACTCGAGAATTTAAAACCCTTAATTAACTAAGAATAGAAAGGATCTTTAAACTGATAAAGGATATCTCTCCCACCCTAAAAAAATTATTTCAAGCATTTCACTTGATGGTGACACCTTAGTAGTGTTCTTAAAATGGGAATATGTCAAGGATGCCCACTTACTCAACTCCTATTTGACATTGTATTGGATGGAAGTAATGGTCAATGCTATAAGATAGAAAAAGAAACAAAACATAGAAATATTGAAAGAGAAAAATAGTAATATTTTCTGTATTATGTGATTTTCCAGATAAAGGTAATTATAGATAAACTAACAAAAAATAAGAGTTATATAAGGTTGCTTAGAAGAATATCAACCTGAAGTAATCAGGATAGAAACAATTTTAACTTGTCCATATTTTCTATACCTTTAGTACTTCTTTTTTTTCTTTGTTTTTCTTTTGGTATCATTAATCTACAATTACATGAGGAACATTATGTTTACTAGACTCCCCCCATCACCAATTCCCACC